TAACAGTGAGTGGCCGGGTTCATGCCGCCACAACATCTCTGGCTACTTAACTTAAAACTCCGGCCTCAGGCCGACCGGCCGGCCTGCGGTCCTGCTCATAAAATGCAGCAGATGACTACTGTCCAACGGCCCACGTTTTTCTGTGTCGATAGCTAATACCACACTACCTCATAAGTGTGTCCCGTGACGCGTGATGTATCGATACTGAGCTTACATTTAAACCGTTCCCTGAGGACACAGCAAGAAAATGCATGTAACGCCATAGAAATAAGCAGATACCGAGACGCATTGATTGTGCCCGTCTTGCAAAAAGTCTGAATCATCGTTTAAGATACGACCTATAACGCCATGTTTTCAAGCTTGCGTAACCATGTTTGAATTAAACAGCTTTGCAACCGTTTGTTCAGCGACAGCCTTTTCTTTGTGAATTAGTCATGTATTTTGCGGGTAGATGACCATGTCATAGTGTACATTTCATATTCACAACCATCCACTTGAGCGTAACCTCGTAATCCGTGACCTCGTGGGTCATAAGTTTGTAAGTCCGAAAGGGTCAAACGAGTTTTTGTCAGATTCCCTGGGCATCCGGCCACTCAGTGGTCTTTGTTTCGGGACTCCAGCCTGCCCTGGGGGCTTAATGGTGCCGTCGGTGCCTAGCAACCACTTCGAACGCAACAGGCTTCCATATGGGGGGGGGGGCAGGGGGGAGTGCACTGCACACGCGCTCGGGTGGGAGGACAGTCTGACCCTTCTCGCATGTTTTCCCAGAATAATTTTTGAGCGCGCGGGGTAGCCACGTCGAATTTTGCACTGCTGGAGGCGATTAAGCACGTGATCTTTTCAAGTAAATATACGTGAAGCTCGTGAGGTCGCTGACCTAAAGCAGGTCACAGTCAGGTCATGGCTATCAGTGAAAACAAGGACGCTACAAATATATGTAAGGCATCGAGGCGACAGACGTTTGGGAAATACTGCATGTGAGAAGGCCAAAATAAAGCTATTGAATGTATTATTTCAGTCCTTAGGGATATTAAAAAAGTAAAGCCCAGTTACTGCTTATTTCTTGTTTTATTTTCTAACACTATCATAATACATGTATACTAGAACTTCTGCATTTCCGCTGTAAAAACGCAGGAATTTTGACCGATTTCGAACAGACCAGTGATCATGACAAGATACAGGACACACAGAATATCAACACACAATATTTCGTGTCCGGATTAATGACCACATGAAGTAATGCTGACCACATATGATAATGACCGCAGGTAGAGTCTTTGGGTTTTGGTTTTTAGTACACAGGTGAATTGCATTCCTTGCCTGTTTGCCAGCATTATCCGATTCAAAATATTGTCATGCTTTCTTACGCAAAGCCTGTATTTAGTTACCTCAGTGCATTTTATTTCTGCCACCCAAAAATCAATGCCCACTTATCATAGTTCTAATTGGAGAATGTTCAATGCCGACGAACATGAATGCAAATGAATTATGTCAGTTCAGGGCGCTCAGCGAACTTCAACGCGTATAGGCTAGATAACATGACAACACATGGACTTTTGGCGTGCGGTGCCGCCTCAGAACAAGTAACACCCAAAGACATTTCAGACAAAGGGACACTCAAAGATCAATAACGCTGTAATTGCATCGAAAACCATTACGGATATTAATTGGAAGTCGCTGACCGTGAACGGCAAGCTCATTAACGTCAAGAACACCTCGACCTTAATCAAGCCAGCACGGTTTTGATCAGCTAAACGACAATTTGCAAATAATTTCTCCAGGGAATGTCGTTTCCCTCAGAGGGCCTTGCACGATGGTGTCAAATGCGAGTGCCGTTCTACAAGATGATGCAAAATTTGGAATGAAAGATAAGGTGTAAAAAATAACTGCCTTTCACCAGTCGCTTGTAATGCGCTCCTTGATACAGAGTGTCTGTGTCGAAAAGCTCACAGTTATGGAAAAGCACGCAGGGTCACACGATTTTGGAAGCCTTTACAAAACAGTCATGAATCATGACCTCTTCTCGAGCAATGCAATTGGTGGCAGCCTTCCGCAGCTTGCCTATTGACCTTACCTACTGCAGCCTACTTATTGACCTTGATATGCCATAGAACGCCTCGATGTACCATTTTAATGACGTCGATATACGATATGCTATTTGCCATAACGCTATATTTGTCGCATAACGATACGCCATTCGACGTAATGCAATATTTGTCACAAAACGATACGCCATTCGACGTAGCGATACAGAGCGCTTTCAGCTTTATGCAGGGCATTTCACGGAGCTTATCAGGTAGAAGGCTCTGCGCAATCTTGATGTTCGCACGTGCGTGACACGACTGTTCCTGGTCAAGGTCAGGTCATCAATTCTTGAGGGACATATATGGCTTCCTTGCTGGGAACGTATTGACATGCAGTCTCCTTGCGTCCAAAGCCAGCAAAAGGTCGGTTTTCTTGCTGGAGACATATTAACGGCAGTCTTTTCTCCAGTCCAGGACCAAAAGTATCTGATAATAACCTCGGAAGTAAGCCTGCATTTTAAACGTCATGTTGCTACTTGACGTTAAAACTTACCTGAATGCTAAAGAGTATTAACACTGTATGGCATGCAACTCGGGCACAGCATGCAAACGGCAAGATAGACGTAGCAAGCCTGCTACAGAGCTCAGACAAACCTTCATTCATCATGAGACGATCCAGAGAATATTTCTGCATTACACATCCAAAGCCCCCACTCTGTAAGCGGGGAGATATCGCGATTCTTACCTTGTGAAGACGAGGCAGAGTAGTGTAGCTGATAGTACCATCAGCTGCTGTGATAAGGCAGACTGGGACCGCTGCATGGCACGATTAAGGTCATTCTGAAACACAGAGCAGGCCAATACAACAGCAGAAGGAAATAAGCGAGCCGGGAAGTAGACACTCCGTGTGCCAACGATTCAGAATTGACAGCACTTTAAATGATTTATGCTATCAAAAGGAGCTTTGTATTCGTGAGTATATGCATCCTACATGCAGCGTAGCAAAACGTTTCATGGTTAACATCCACTGAGCTGGACTCACTACGCTAAGACCCGGCACCTCACCCAGCGACTTGCGTTTCAGAGGCCTGCAGGGAACGACGGACCACATGGCATTTCTCTTGAACGCTGCTATTTTTAACGTAAAAGAATAGAGTAAAGTCTGAAGATAATGCCAGGGCGCACAACACTGCAGTATTGAGGAGAACTTCTCAAGAAATGAAGGTGCTCAGTGAGCCGAATACGGGAAGGGCGAGCACGAGCAATCAAGAAAATGGGGCGTGTGGAAGCGCCGTGATGTCATTCCTCAATAACAGACCAGAAACTGCTGGCAGTAAAACATCGGGATGCGTTCTGACGCTTGAAGGCATTGAATTTTCAGGAGCCGGCCGGAAAGTTTTGATGAATCCGCGGCTCGCTCAATAAACCCGAGACCAAGATGGCAAAATGTTGGATCGAACCATTCACCACGCACAAAGGTGACGAAATGAGAAACAGAGTTCGGCAGGCCAGACTTTTGGCGGACCTATGATTACAAATTGTGGGCCTCATGGAACACCCACCGTCAAACCGTGCTGATGCATAACCGCATCGAAACTGCGCTCACTAAACCCAGATACATGAAATCTTAGCAGCTGTGCCTTATTTGTCTCATCAAGTATTCGTCCATACAGAACACAATTTGTCCATGCGATTTCAGAAATGCGCGGAAAAGATGCGAATCAATAATGGTGGGTTCACCACGGTAATTAGATGCGGTATGTAAGACAATCAATCGTAGTACATTGTGAATACATATATGTCGGGTCAACAGCCAAAAATAAAAAGAGGGAAGACTGGCTCATAGCATTACGAGTTCCCGAGAACTAGGAAAAAAGAAATAGCAGCCATTATGCCTTGGAAGAGGTGAAGAGGAGTAGGGGCACAGTTCTGTTGCTCCCTTTGACCAGTCAGCGTCCTTTGTCCGCAATACCTAACCTGACGAGCTGAGCTAGTCAGGCTCGTTGATGCATTTGTGAGGTCAGGTACGTTTGTTTTTCAGCTCAGTTCTCAGTGTGGTTAAGCTCCTACCCAACGACAATCATCTTAACCCAGTAGGTACCTGTAGCTTATGTATAAGCTTCTGACAAGCGTATCGGCCTGAGTGTCATCCGAGTGTGCATAGAAGGGGGAAGGGACACCGCGTTTAGGAGGAACAGAAAAGGGGTCCCGATCGAGGGAAAGGGTCTGTAACTTTTCAAGGGGATGTGAAATGGAAGGAGATTTATTAATGTACGCATACGCTTCGATGCTGTGCACTTTTTCACACCGCCCGTCCAGGATCGGTGGAGCTTCCCGGCTGGGCGTGGTACAGCGAGCAAGCCGGCCGTGGCCAGAAACTCCCCCTCCGAACAAAACAAAGCCATTAGGACGAAAAGAGCTTGAGCAGTCAATGCAGATCTGCCAAAACCTGCGCCTGGTCGCCGCGCAACAGCAGGAAGGCGTCTGCTCGTGAAGGGACCTGCGAGCTAAGAGCGGCGCTGAAGGCTGACCCGGCGCGGTATTCGGCTATTGCGCGGTATTCGGCTATATTCGGCTTGCAGAACTTAACACGGCAGCGCGCGTTTTGCCTTGTCGGACCACCACCCCAAAGGGGACGCCTGCCACCTACTAGCCAGTCCAGATTGATGGACACGCAGCACCCGATCGGCAGTGGAAGAGGAAAACAGCATTATTGGCCCCCCCCCCCCCCCCCTCCCCCGCCCCCAGATGGCCACCGCAGCGACGCCAAGCGGGAAATGAGTCAGGGGAGGACGCACAGGACCCGCCCGCGGCAAGGGAGAGTGGGCGGGCCTTGTACCACTGCGGGCAATTGCAACGCTTAAGTCCTGGCCCCAGGCACGTCTGGAACAATCCCTGGGATAAGGGCAGGTCGGCCCGACAACGTATTGGGTGAAGAGAACATTCTGTCCAAACGATTGGACCATGCGGAAAAAATCAGGGCGGGCCAACCCAGTTACAAGAAATCGCGAAAAAAGCATCTGAGGAGGAGTCTCTGAGGGAAGGCTTCGGCAAAGAGGTCTACAGAAGAGTGTCTGGAAGGTTCCCGAGGCGGAGAGACGGAGGGAGACTACCTCTGGAGCAGGACACAGACTGCTGAGAGACTCCGACGCCGGGTTTTGCAGCCACCAGTCTAGGCATGATGTCTCGCATCACGCACAACGTGAGTCCACAGCCCGACGTCCCCCATCCTGACCGGACCATAGACGGCTGTGCGCCCCGCACCTGATCCCATGACCTCTGCCCGCGGAGGGGCGTCGGTCACAGCATACCTCCTTCCCTCCTCGTGATTAATGGAATGGGGATGATAATGGGATGATATGCCGGGTGGTACCCGACGCTTGTGTGTTTCTGTGAGCGGGTCTGACCGGCGGAAAGGTGATAAGTAACCGGGTTTTATGTGAATGGACGTGTACATACAAAAAAATGGGCTGCGAAAGCGAAGGACGGATAATTCATCTTCTGGATTGAGTATGCTTGCGTTGTATGTGACCTTGTAAATACAGAATGTGGGCTACGATTCAATTGTCTACCGCTGAAGCAAACATGAGACGATGGCAAAGCAGTGTTTGGCGTCGAAGTGCCCAATGATTGTGGGCCACAAATAGGCCGTACATTATCCAAAGCCTCCGATGGCAATAGCCGAACGATAACCTATTTGGGCCGTAATTCACGCCGCACTTAAACCTAAGCGTTTTATATCGCGACACGCTCGTGACACGGCCCGGCCGTAGGGGCCGACAGCTAACAGAACGGCTAATTACGCGTCGTAATGGCTTTCCAATCGATCAAGTCCAGCTCCCACCAGGCGAGCAGACGTATAGCCGGTTTGCGTCATGTTCCCTTTTTCAAGAGGGCCACGTCACAGGAGCTGCAATGACCGCGAGAGGTGATACGTGCTGAACACGACCGAGCAATACGGCTCGGCCCTGGTTACGAGTCAGGAGGAGCCAGGCGACCGCAGTCCTGGTCTCACGCGGATAAACGTTTGATCGGTGACGCGACTCGAAGGCACGGCTTCATTCATATTTAGGCCGGGAGACGGTCGACTCGTTTCGTTGTCTTTCACTTGACCTCAGACATGACAGCAAGAAGACGCGTAGGTCATGGTATAACCAGAGACCAGCTTAGATCGCCCGGGATGCAAGATTACGCACGGCGTAACTGGATCTACCCGCTGGTGTGCAACACCTCGAGAAAGATTAGGACACAGCCCTCTCTCTTCCGACGCGTCGTGCGCCAAGCCCATGGCGGCGGGATGTTCGGTAAGGATGGGGATCCCGCCATCAACACTTATAGGAAGGGCGACACGGGACCGAGTCGTCGGACAGCCCAGTCAGGCTGAGTCTCAAGAGCGCGTCGGCCGCAGAAACCGTAAGGCGTGAACGCAGGTCACGCCGGGCGCTCGCTGTCTGCCGGTGGCTCCAATGTCCCATCAGGTGCGCTGTCTACCTTCAGGCCTCTAAGGGACATGCCGTGGAGCGGTGCCTTGCAAAGCTCACTCCGGTAGGCGGGAGGCGAGGGCGCAAGAGCCCCGGAGGCGACGTCTCCGTACTGAACGGGTCGCTTCCTTAGGTACGTACGCAGCAGTGGGAAGCTGTGAACGGTGGACGTGGTTATAGGAGCGGTGGGTCGCCCCATCGTGGATGAGATGCGAGTGGGCGTCGTCCAAAGAGGTAGCCGCCACCCTGGAGGTCAGGCGATGAAACGAGTCGTCGTCCAATTTTAGTTCACACGAAGCCGGCCCAGCAGCCGCTTTGGTGCCAAGCCGATAATTAATTGACCTGATACGTTTTATGTAGGGCATAAAAGTGGCTTTATTGGATGTTTGAAATGCGTGAAATGAAATTTATCCTAGCTCAACGAGGATCTACACAGACGTGATAATTATAACGCCAAGGCGCTTCGAGGTCAAGGCGTAAAAGCCATTGCACACGGGTGGCATGCACACGGACTTGCCCGTGTGCACGCCGAGAACGGGGGAGGTGACGCGGGGACAGTGGATGTGTATGCTTGGAGTGAATGTGTTGGGGCGCCGAATGCATGAGGTTTGCGTGAATTAGTTAAGAGTTAGTGGGGTTCCCAGATTTGTGACCATGTCACCATGATGTCACCAAGTGGACCCTTGCGGATTAACTTCGCCGGTTGCGTGGGATCCCTGCCACTTGAGGCGTGCCATGGGATTCAGGACGGCTAATTTTTCTCAATGCGTCTAGTTCCATTTTCGCCAGGTTTGAATATCATAATCAGCTAAACGGTGGAGATGGTATGCTGGACCCAGGGGCGCACAAACCATGTCCGGGAGGCAGCCGTTCGTGGTGCTTGGCCGGACCTACCATCCCGCCCATACGCCGGTCAACCGCTTCATCTCAGCCCTCTGGCTCACACGCCTGTGTTGATGTCGGGTGTACCGCAGTCACAACGTGCCGAGTCGTGCACGTAGCATCATTCGGCTCTTATGCCGACCAATGGGCTCCTCATTATGAATTGGCTCTTGTAAGGAGGCGTGATAGCGGTAGCCGGTGACACGGAGCACCAGCCGAACAGCTGCGCAGCCCACGAATTAAGTCACAGCTCCCCCACACAAACACTGAGAGACTTTTTTCGAAAGGTGAGACGATTTTTTGAGAGGTTGTCATCGGTTTCTTCACATTTGTTTTCGCTGAAATCGTAAAGGAAGAAGTGATATGTAACGCGGGTTTCCTTCTTCATATTTCCTGACTTAAGCCCAAGCTTTACCCCCGCCCGGCCGAGGTTTGAGACAACCGCGCCCGGCGGGGGAGGGGGGGGGGGAGTTGACT